GGAGTTGTAGTTGCTGGGGTTTATAGTTCACCTACAATCACATTCCAAACTCAACTAACGATAGAAATAGGCTAAACTTCCCACACAGAACCCCCAAGACCAACAGAAAATAGTGTGTTTTCTGATGGTCTTTGCTGACCCCTCTGACACCCCCTTGCGACCCCTCCAGGGGTCCCGATCCCCAGGTTGGGAAATGCTGGTCTAAAGGGAGGCTGGGGATACTCTCTTGGTGCAAAATGTGAGTGGGTGCCTTTCCCTCAGGTGCCAAAAAAAGGGAAGTGACAAATTGTGCATCAGATTCTCCTGACTGCTTCAAGGCAAGCTCATCTCTTCCTCTCCCTTCCCTTCACCTTGGAATTTCCTTGAATAAGGCAAAAAAGAAGCAAGGAGATCAGGAGTGTGGACGCAGTAAGTGCCAGTGGGAAATTATAATCCTTTAGATGTTAGACTGCAGCTTCTATGACATAGGAGCATATTGGCCAACACATACAGTATGGTATGGTATACTAGAAGTTGGAGTTCAACAACATCTAGTGGAAGATAGCTGTACATCCTTGTTCTGAAAGTATTCATGGAATAACACTGAAATGGAGCTAAAGGAATTTAAAAAGGGACCAGAAGCAGGTGCAAACATGGCAATTTGATTATATATGAGTAATGGATATTTTCAGCAGACAATCGTAGTAGGTAAAAGAGTTGTGTTAAACACCTAAGACCAAGAGTAAGAGATTCTGAACATTAAAAATTTACATTACCAGTAAGAACTCAGCTGGGATTTTTAGCAGCTTGAAACTAGATATGTAATTGGTTTTGAGTGAACACTGGGAAGAGGAGGGGGCATCACCCTCTATGGTGTTGTTGTTGCTGTTGTTCTCATTGTTGTTATGTGCCTTCAAGTTTGGAGCTTTCTTGGCAAGATTTCTTCTGAGGGAGTTTGCCTTTGCCACCTTCTGAGGCTAAGGATGCATCCCATTATAGAATTAATGCAGTTTGGATCTTGGAAGACAGTCCTACTCCAAAAGTGAGGGATTTCCTAAGTAAGTAAGTAAGTAAGTAAGTAAGTAAGTAATGCAGTTTGGCACTACTTTAACAACCATGGCTTGGTCCTATGGGATTTTGGGCATACTTTTACAAGGGCTTTAGCCTTCCCTGCTTTTTTCCCCAGCCTGAGGCCTTATCTACACTGGACCCAAAGCCTGCATTGGACCATAAGTCTCTCCTGGATGTCCAAATTATATCAAGGGATTTCTGGTCTGTAATGCAGGGCAAAATAGGTTTTTCCCAGTTTCATCCAATGTTACGAGAAGTTGGGAAGTAGCCCCACACTTTGGGATCAGTACAGATAGCTGGACAAGACCTAATCCAAATAGTCCACTTGGGCTGGAGGCACCACCCCTTTTCTCTATACTTGGCAGAACAGGAAAAATAGGGTAGATTGGATCTGTGTCACCCTTCCATCACTATGGCAGATGGCTACAGAGGTCCAAAGAGCTATTGGACATTGCTAGATGCCTTTGCTGATGTGCTAGTAAAGTTGCCCAGTGACAACCAGGAGCTTATCTTGAACCCCATGGTAGACTATCAGCAGTGATGAGGGCATATAATGGTAAGGTGACAGTCCAGCAAGGCTAAATTGGTTTCAGAAGTAGCCCAATTGTTTACAAGGGTCCAAAGTCATGGGTTTGGCCATTATGAAACTGATTTGGTGGCTTTAATCTGTCCCCATTCACACCCAAACTACTACAGTATATTGGATAGATCTGGCATTTAATTCTTTCACATCTTACCATTCATAACTCAGGTATTCAACAATATATTTAGTATTTTCCCACACGTGAGTCTTAGGTTTATATTTCGTGTTCTAGCCCAGTTTCCTATGCACCATGCTTAAAAGCTGCTGTGTTGTTTCTCTTTGAACAGGTGACATATGACAACCTGTCAGCAATTTACGCTCAATCCGCCTAAATTACATTCTTAACCTCTCCCCATTCATTTTCCTCAGTTCAATCACAATGGACAACAGAGCCATCAAGAAGTGTAAATTCAGCATCATGCTGTGACCTTTCCCTTTCCCTTCCCTCCCTAGTCCTTCATTTTCAGGCTGTTTTTGGATCTTGTCAATTCATCTGACAATAACCTCTAGTCACTCAGAAAGCTAAATCTTCTAAACTTTGTCTTGCATGTCGATGGCTGCTGTGAACATTTTCCTTCAACCTTGATGGCTGGCCAGTAAATGACTGTGTTATGAAGAATAAATCCATTCAAAATGTTGTTGCTAAGATAATTTCTAAAGAATGTCTCTCTGGCTACAGCAGAAGAAGGATCTCCACTCTGTCCAAGGTCTCATGTGTCCTGTCAGTGCCCATATATGCCATATCTTGATATTCCTTTTGGTGCAATCAGATTGAGTAAGAAGAGCAGTGTTGGTGATTCAATAATGCTGTATTTGTTCCACTGTGGGTGCATCTATGCTACAGAATTAATGAACTTTGATGTCACTTCAATGGCCATGGCTCAATGCTATGGAATCGCAAGACCACTTGATTCGTCAGGCATCAGCACTCTTTGGCAGAGAAGGTTCAAGACTACAGCTCCTTTGATTCCATAGTCATTTCAGTTAAAGTCATCTTCAACTGCATTAATTGGATAGTATAGATGCATCACGAGATGCAAACAGAATGGAGATGGGGAATGAGAAAGGGAACAAGAGAATGTGAAAAGAGTATCAAGGACTGACAAGTATTGGTTCTTCCATTGAATACTTTGTTAAATAGTTATGTCTACAGCAGTGGTTCTCAACCTTCCTAATGCCAACGCACCTTAATACAGTTCCTCATATTGTGGTGATCCATAAAATTATTTTTGTTGTAATTTTGCTAGTGTTACGAATAGTAATGTAAATATCTGATTTGCAGGACATATTTTCATTCACTGGACCAAATTTGGCACTAATACCCAGTATGCTCTAATTTGAATACTGGTGGGTTGGGGGGGGGGGGTTGATTTTGTCATTTGGGAGTTGTAGTTGCTGGGATTTATATTTCACCTACAATCAAAGAGCATTCTGAACTCCACCAATGATGGAGTTCTGGTACACAGAAATCCCATGACCAACAGATAATACTGGAAGGGTTTGGTGGGCATTGACCTTGAATTTGGGAGTTGTAATTCTCCTAAACCAAACATGGATGAATATTCAATATGCCCAAATGTGAACACTGGTGGAGTTTGGGGAAAATAGACCTAGACATTTGGGAGTTGTAGTTACTGGGATTTATAGTTCATCTACAATCAAAGAGCATTCTGAACCCCACCAATGATAGAATTGGGCCAAACTTCCCACACAGTTTTCTGGTGGTCTTTGGCGACACCTCTGACATCCCTTTGCGACTCCCAGGTACACTGGTTGACAGTGCAAATGCACCGTGTGTTGTAAAGCAGAAATAATAACAACAATAAATAGATTATTAGTTTCAAAATCCTAGCTAGTGGATTTTGGGAGTTGTATCCGAGAACTTTATAAGCTCTAGCCATCCCTGTTTACTTGAGAAAAAAATAACATAAACCTATCCTGATTTCTCATTAAAGCAACATTACACTTGCTTTTTATGCCATCTGTTTCTTATATCCAGGGACAAAACAACAGAGTAGGCAGGCTTGAGGAAACTGAGTAAGCAAAATTAGAAACAGAAATTAAAAGGAAGGCTGCAAACTCAGCCAAAGCTTTTCAGAAGCTAAGACCAGTAAAACCAAGAAAAGAGTGTAAGAATCCAATAAGAGACAAGTGAATTTAGTGTGATAGATGTTTCTAAGGGCTGATTACCCCTCTTTGATTAAAAACAAATCTTTGCATAAAAACACAGTTGAAACGATGGCACCATCCTTCTCAGTCTTCTTTTGGTGTCATCTGTTGGTGGGCTTCAACATCAAAATATAACAGCACCCTTTTTGGTGAGAATTACACAACTCCAAGAGTTCACAATCTTACAAGTCTGGCCTCTGTGCTTCCACATTTTCAACATAGTGAAGCACCATCCCTACAACCACTTAAAATATTTATTTTAAAAATAAACATTTTGCAATTAAAAGCATTTTCCTATTTTGTGTATTTTGCATGGGGTACATGTAGTTTTGACATGGCAACCTTGTTTAGTGACCCACAACCATGTATGAGCAGAAGTTCTGCAAATGGTCTTGCAAGGAAAGGAAACATTTAATTAAGAGGCGAAATTCTTATTGGCAGCATGGTACAGCTATGGAGACATGGAGTTACCAGAATTTTAAAAAGGAAGCCATCAGGGGGTAAGGGGAAACACGGTTTTGCAGCCAAAGATTTTAATATCTTTCTACCTGAAGTGTAAATGGCAGCAGATTGGGAACAGGAATCTACGGCAGATAGAAACTCACAATACATCCGCAATAGAGAATAGTGAAGTCGCTTCAGATTACCATGTGGATGGAAATGCCTTTAAAGACTCCTAGAATGTGCATTCAGCCACCCTTGGTTTTGCCCATTTCCAGAAATGACCGCTTCAGCACAATCTGAAGACTGGTTTGCAGTGAGTTTAGGATAACGTCATGTGATGTTAAGCTTCTTCATTTGTGGCCAGGGAGCCTCCATCATGGGTTATAAGCCTCGTGTGATAACATCCTAAATCCCCTCAAATGGTGGAACTGTCGACTAATGTGGATTCTGAGAATTCCTCATGTACTGCACAAAAATGAAGACCCTAATGCAAAGATGAAACACTTGGGGGTTCCAGATACTCTTAGAGCTGCAGCACCCATCACTTTGCACAACTAAATATTTTGGTTAGGGCTGATGGGCATTTTAGGCCAACCAGAATTGGCAGAACACAAGCTAACCCAATCCCAAGGTTTTTAGGGTTGTGAAAAGGAATGACTGCTAAATAAGTTTGCAATACAACCTCAGCCAGTTAAGATGTAGGTTGAGTTTCAACAGGACCTTGAATGAAACTGCAAAACGTAAACCCACTTACGTTGAATGTCGATAGTGACAGAGGTTTCCTTTCCACTGGGGATGGCTTTGTTGGTAGCTCGGCATGCAATGGTCTGGCCATTCTCGATGTCTGATGGAGAGACAAAGAGTGTGCTCATGATACTCTCTCTCTTCCCATCACGGAGCACGGTCTGCAAGAGAAAATGAAGAAACCTGTTATTGAGCAGTTCAGCGGTGGCAGCTCTATAGTACCATGTTGCAACAGTCCAACTGGACAAGATTTGAACATTGAAACAATACCATGTGAGGCATGACATGGTTATTTTGATTCTTCTTTACAAGAAATGGTCAAGCCAGAGAACAGACAGAACATATTAAAAACCTAGAAAGAACTAATAAGGGAAAGGGAGCAGGGTTTTGGTCCCAAATTGAAATACCAAAATCAGTTTCCAAATTGAGTGTTGAGTGACATGTCTGAAGAACTAGACATGGGGGAGAATTTCATTTGAGATTAATCATGTTAAGAATTTATCGAAATGTGTAACTTTCTTCATTCACATACAGGAAAAACTGGAACTTGCAAATTTCTCCATTCCTATTGTGAGCCTTTCCTGGGTTCTTGGTAGGGCTTGGAGAACTTGGCTAATGTTGATTTTCCAAAGTTTGGTTTATAGCATATGTTTGTACCCTGAGATACCTTGATAACTGTTGTAGCCTGGTCAGATTCTGAGTGCTCAGAAGATGAGGAAGGGGATGCTGGAATAGATTCAAAGGGCCCAGAGGAGGATAGAAGTGGCCTGGAGAAAGTTGTTTTGAAATCTCCTGGTAGTTCTCATGAGACTGGAGAAGGCAATATCAGTTCTCATGAGAATCAGCCAGAAGTGCAGGCTGAGAGAAATGTGAGAAACAAATGTTTGTCCAAGTCAAGGTGCTTGGAACTTTGGCGGCAGAGCATACAACAAAGACAGATTCACTTTTCCCAGAAACTTAGAGACAAGGAGAGGAAAAGCAGGTGTGTAAGCAATGATGTCATGGGAGGGACTGAGGCCTTTTGAAGTGGTTTCTGCTAGTACAATCCTTTGTGAGAGCAATGTTGTATTCAGGCGAACAGCTCTTGGTTCTTAGTCCTATGTTTTTGGAATTAATGTATTCAAGGTTCTAAGTTTGTTCCTGTTTCTACTTCATTTTTTTTGTTGTGTCAGGAGCGACTTGAGAAACTGCAAGTTGCTTCTGGTGTGAGAGAATTGGCCATCTGCAAGGACGTTGCCCAGGGGACGCCAGGATGATTTGATGTTTTTATCATCCTTCTGGGAGGCTTCTCTCATGTCCCCGCATGAGGAGCTGGAGCTGATAGAGGGAGCCCATCCGCCTCTCCCTGGATTCAAACCTGCGACCTGTCGGTCTTCAGTCCTGCCGGCACAGGGGTTTAACCCTCTGCGCCACCAGGAGCTCCTTTCTACTTCATGTGTGGCATAGATTGCCTGCCTTGGATTCATGCTAACATGTTTATGAATATATCTGTGGATTGACTCTTGAGACTGTATTTGACAGGATTTTGGACTCTTGGCTATCTTGGAAATTACTTCTTGAACTTTTATTCTCTTTTTTAGATTAGCTTATTTTTTATTTTCTCTTAATAAACTTTTACTTACTGGATTATCTGGATAATGTGGTTTGTGGTGAAAAAGTATTTCAGGGCTCTAGTGCAACAATAAAATGGGGGTAATATTAAAGAAGTATCATCCTGCAGTAAATCCACTTTAGGAAAAAAATGCTTATTCAATCAAGAGAGCAGGAGTCCATGGTCAAGCCATCTTAAATGTAGAAACAAGGCAAATCATGCAAACATTAAAATGCTCTCTTGTTGCCTTTGTGGATGCAACCAATGGATCCATTTTGGCGCTCTTGTAAATGCTAGACTTTCCCACCCACTAAGCCTGTCTGCGTGCTTTCATGAATGTATTTATTTACCTAGACATTACTATCCCACTTTTCACTTTAAAACTCCCAAAGTGGGTTACAGCATTAAACAGTATTAAATCTGCAAAAAAAATTAAAGAAAATTAAGTAATAAAGCAGCAATTTTTTTGTTTAAATCGCTCAAATCGCTAGAGGTGACTGACTAGATAAGTGATCAGGAAACAGCACAGGAAAATTTATGGTATTTATCATTTATTTCAAGGTACGCTTTCAGCCAGCATGTTTAATTCCATCTAGTCAGACAGGCTATGCATATTAATAAAATGGAATATTTAAAAGCTCATTACCGCACTGTGTTGAGGATGCTTTCGTATGCATATCAAGAGGGCACCCGCATCTGTGGCACTCTAGTGCCAATCCTTCACGCTGCCAAATACCAAAGGTTGCCCAGGTGTGGTCGCCAGGGAGTCAGGATTCTAACACTTCATCTTTTTTTGGGAAATGTTTTATGAGGGGGGCATGAATGCTGCTTGGCTCAGAATTAATCTCCTGTCAGATCTGATCTGAATCCTTGCCTGGGTTTTAATGCGAGCCACATCAGGCTCTGGAAATTGAGATATACTCATCAGCCCTGACAAGTGTCAAGTGCAGGCTGCAGTGCTAATGCCCTCAGCTCTGTGATATTTTGATTCATTGCTACACATGTGAAATTTCAGAAATTCTTCTCTGCTGTAGGGTGGTAGAAAATTACCCAGGAGATGCAATAAATCTAATGGATTTTGGTGCATTTTGGAGTGGGTTGGGGGGAAGAGGTCAGTGTCTTATTTTAAAAGGGCTGATGTTCTTATGGATGCTTTTGGGCCCATTCATGTTACACAATCATAATGTTATACTATAGGAAGCCAGTAGGGAAGGAGTCCTCAAACTTTTTAAACAGAGGGCCAGGTCACCGTTCCTCAAACTGTTGGAGGGCTGGATTATAATTTGAAAAAAACATGAATGAATTCCTATGCACATTGCATATATTTATAGTGCAAAACCACTTAAAAATACAATAATTAAAATGAAGAACAGTTTTAACAAATATAAATTTATTAGTATTTCAATGGGAAGTGTGGGCCTGCATTTGGCTGATGAGATAGGATTGTTGTTGTTGTTGTTGTTGTTGTTGTTGTTGTGTGCTTTCAAGTCATTACAGACTTAGGTTGACCCTAAGCGAGGACCAGGTAAATGACCTTGGAGGGCCGCATTCGGCCCCCGGGCCTTCGTTTGAGGACTTCTGCAGTAGGGTATAGTAGTTTGAGTGTTCAAATCTGGGAATCCAGGATTTGAATCCAGCCATGAAAACCCACTGGGTGTCCATGGACAAGTCACACATTCTTATCCTCATTGAAAGGCAATGAATAAACCATTCATTGGCCAAGAAACCCCTGTCATAGCATAGTTTCTTGCCAAGAATCCCGTCATAGCATAGGCTGAGGATCTCTATAGTTTTTGAACAACCTGAAGGTACACAACATTGTATGGAATCCTAGGGTTTGTAGTTTGTGCTTATAATATAATATAATATTGATAATGTAGAATCACAGAATCATAGAGTTGGAAGAGACCTCATGGGCCATCCAGTCCAACCCCCTGCCAAGAAGCAGGAATATTGCATTCAAAACATCCCTGACAGATGGCCATCCAGCCTCTGCTTAAAAGCTTCCAAAGAAGGAGCTTCCACCACACTCCGGGTCAGAGAGTTCCACTGCTGAACGGCTCTCACAGTCAGGAAGTTCTTCCTCATGTTCAGATGGAATCTCCTTTCTTGTAGTTTGAAGCCATTGTTCCGCATCCTAGTCTCCAGGGAAGCAGAGAACAAGCTTGCTCCCTCCTCCCTGTTGCCTCCTCTCACATATATAATACAATATACTACTACTACTACTACTAATAATAATAGGATATTATAATTATATATTTTATATTAAATGTAATATTATGTGGCCCACCCATTGTTATTGTGCATTTTACATTATTTTAGGTCTGCTTGTATGTTTTCCACAAATGCCCCATCCTTATTGGAATGTTATTTTATGACTGTGGTTATAAATTTTTTCCTTTATGTAATTTTGATGATGTTGTTTGTTGTTTATGCTCTGGTTTTATTTTGCTGTAATATGTTGTCCGGGCTTGGCCCCATGTAAGCCGCTCCAAGTCCCCATTGGGGAGATGGTGGCAGGTATAAATAAAGATTATTATTATTAATAATAATAATAATAATAATAATAATAATAATAATATTACAGTATAATGTTATACGTAGTACAATGTAATGTAAAGGTTAAGGTAAACCTTTACCTTTTTTTACCTTTACCTATGGTAATAATATAATATATTGTATTTACTTTTTACTTGTAAGCTGCTCTGAGTCCCCTTTAGGGTGAAAAGGGTGGCATACAAATGTCGTAAATAACTAAATAACTAAAAATAGTTTGCTGTGGCATTATGCTTCTTCTGAAATTCCAAATCCCATGATCCCATAGGATTGAACCAAGGCAGTTAAACTGGAATTATAGTGCTATGATGGCATAGTGCTCACACTTTAAATGGAAATAGAAATGAACTTGATGGTTTCAAGGCTGTTGTTCTACATTACACAGTTCTGGAGACTCACTGTGAAACAAAGGGAGGGTATATACATGGAGATGTGTGTGAGATCATTGCTCCCAATAGGAATCTGTCCTCAAAATGAAAATTTATCTCATTTCCCAAATGATTAGCAACACAGTAATATAAACCTTCAGATGAACATTTAGCAATACAGTTTAGGCATCCAAAGAAAAGGGACAGGCAAATTACCAATGGATCATGAACACAGCAAATAGAAGAGTTATGAGCGAACAGTTTTTAGTGTCTCACTAAATGCTGGAAGCTTGAGGAAAAGATTAATGAGGGAGAGGGCAGAATTCTTGCTTGTGCACATCAAAATTATGTCTGTGTTTTCTCTTGGTGGTAACAAGCAGGGATGGACAACTGCTGGAGTTGATGGGCCATGGTGGGGCTCTTATGAAAGATATCAAACAATTATATTTGCCCTGCTGGGCTGTATTTTAGGATAAAGACAGGGTTTTTATAGCATTAGTGGCTGCCTAAGTTTCTAGGGAGGCAAGGTCAAGATACTGACTTAATTGTCCTGCTGTGTGCACACTGCATTTCAATAAGAAATAAGGTGTGCCAGTTCTGTAGGTGGAAAAAAGAGGAGTGCGCAGATTAGAATGGTAAATGACATGAGTTTGGGAAGTGGAAAAGAGGAGTGCAGAGATTGTTATCGCACAGGGAGGGGTGCTGAACCCACCATTTTTCTGGACTTCTCAAAATGTATGCACTCTTTTCCACCCATGCCTCTGGCTTTCCCATTTTCCTCTGACTCCAGCATCTAGCAGCTCAGGTTTAGCTGTTTCCTGAGAAACTGCTGATGGCAGGAGAAATTAAATGTCTTAGGATTTGGGCGCAATAAAGCACAAATCCTATAATACTGCAGGCAAATCAGATGGCAGGGAGAAAGAGAAAGAGAGAGAAAGGTCATGCTACTTATGCTAATCAGATACTGGATTCTCTGATAGCAACCAGAAGGCCTGGAGGATAAGCCTGGCTAAGGCAGATGAAGCAGCATGCAGGCAAGTGAGAAGCAACCTGGACAGGAGGATGCTATAGCTTGCCAGGGACTAAAATTCAAATGTGTGTATGTGTACACTCCGGGAAACAAGGGTGTTGATTTTTACTTTGGGCCTTTCTGTCTTGATCCGCAACTTTGGGCTGTTAATGTAAGCCAATTGACATACAAATTAACATTCCAAAGAACCCAATTCTCCATTTTAATGCTGGAAATGTGCTATATGGGTGCCCACAGTATGAAGAAATAGTGTTAGGCTTGGACTCTGGCAGACCAGATTTTAAATCCCTGCTCAGTTATGGCAACCCATTGGATAGCCTTGGTCTGTGCCTTCGCAGAAGGGAATGGCAAACCACCTCTGAATGAATCTTGCCTTGAAACCCTCTTGATAAGGTAACCATAACTCAGAGGTGAGCTGAAGGTACATTGTTGTCATGAAGGTACAATGAGAGCTCTATACGGTTCTGGCCCAGCTTACTTGTCCGAACGCATCCACCCCTACGTTCCACCTCGTAATCTAAGATCATCCGGGGAGGCCCTGCTCTCGCTCCTGTCAACAGCACAGATGCGCCTGGTGGGGATGAGAGACAGGGCCTTCTCGGCTGTGGCCCCCCACCTATGGAACACCCAAATGAGGTAAGATCTGCTCCCTCCCTCCTTGCTTTTAGAAAAAAAAATTAAAATCATGGTTTTGGGACCAGGCCTTTGGGCAATAGAAGTAAATGTATGCAGCATTTCAGAAAGACAGTGATTGGAACAGCGATTCGACGGACAAGACTGTTTTATTGTTTTAATTATTGTTTTATTGCTCATGGATGTATTTTTTAATTTAATTTATGTCTGATTGTAGTGTATCATTGTAATTGTTTGTACTAGCATTGATTTTTTGCCATTACTTATGTGTAAACCGCTTTGAGTCCCCCTCGGGGTGAGAAAAGCGGTATACAAATACTGTAAATAAATAAGTAAATAATAGTGTGGTGTAGTGGTTAAGTGCTAGAGTACCATGGGTTTTGCAGCAAAGAGAGAGGTGTTTAGAATACACAGCCAAAGCATTCTAGTGCCTCCCCAAACTATAAACCTAGGACTCCATAGGGCGAAATAAAAACAGTTAAAGTGCAATAATAGTGCTATAATTCTGTAGTGTGAATGAGTCCTAGGACTCTGAGAGACAAGGATTCAGATCTTTGCTCAACTAAAGAAACCTTGGGCACTGTGAAACCTTGGGCCCTTTGATCTTGATTAAATGGTTGTGCAGAAGCAGCCCCAGTGGGTAACTTTGGGCTGAAGAAAGCAAACTCTCTTTGAGTTTGGTGTCTCTCTCATGGTCTTGGACTACAATCCAAGGATCTGCAGAAGAGAAGGCTGAGAGGAAACACGATGACCATGTATAAATATATGAAAGGATTTCACAAGGAGGTAAGAGCAAGCTTGCTTTCTGCAGCCCTGGAGACTAGGACTTGGGAGCCATGGGTTCAAAAGACAGGAAAGGAGATTCCACCTGAACATTAGGAAGAACTTCTTGACTGTAGCAACTTTCAGCAGTGGAACTCTCTGCCTCCAACTATGGTGGAGGCTCTTTCTTTGGAGGCTTTTAAACAGAGGCTGGAGGCCCATCTATCGGGGGTGCTTTGATTGAGCTTTTCCTGCATTGCAAGGGGTTGGAATAGATAGCCCATGAGGTCTCTTCCAATTCTATGATTCTAATCTCCCACCAAAGGCCATGTAGTTTTTTTATTTTTATTTTTGTCATGTCAGGAGCAACTTGAGAAACTGAAGTTGCTTCTGGTGTGAGAGAATTGGCTGTCTGCAAGGACGTTGTCCAGGGGACACCTGGATGTTTTACCATCCTTGTAGGAGAGGCTTCTCTCATGTCCCTGCAATGTGAAGCTGGAGCTGACAGAGGGAGCTCACCCATGCTCTCCTTGGATTCGAACCTGCGACCTGTCGGCCTTCAGTCCTGCCGGCACAGGGGTTTAACTCACTGTGCCACCGGGGCTCCAGAGCCATGTAGTACAAAACAGTAAGTATTCAGTTTTTTCAAGCCCAATTTTTGTAGTAAAGAAGTCCTCCTAATGTGTCTTTGGGTCACTTCTGATTTGAAATGTGATGCTCATAAAAGCCAAGATATTTCTGAATGGATATTAGGACTGATTTTCCTTGCCTCTGCTTTAACAAATCCATGCACAGGATGAGATAGGAATACAGAAGGTGAGGATATTAATTAATTGAAATGTATAATCTGTTGTATGTCAAAAGCTCAGCAGGAGTAATAGTTTATTCTCTCCCAAATTACATATTTATTATGAATATTAAAATGTGTATAGATATCCCATTAAAAACCCATTAAAGTCCAATTGAAGTCCAATTAAAGAGCTATAAACATAACATAAATTCACCCCCACCCTCCACTGCTTTGATCCCAGCACCCAGAAAGCTAGCATAGCTAAAAAATATTTTTAAATGTTCTAGGAAATGCTTACATTTTAGAGGAATATCATCATTGTGGAATAAATGTAAAGCTTGTGTTTATTATGCCTGCACAAGCAACTATATGCCTGCAAGAGGCAGTAGAGATAGACACAAGGGATTATAATCCAAAATCCCTGGAAGGGCGATCATAGAATCTTAGAATCATAGAATCATTGAGTTGGAAGAGACCTCGTGGGCCATCCAGTCCAACCCCCTGCCAAGAAGCAGAAAAATAACATTCAAAGCACTCCCGACAGATGGCCATCCAGCCTCTGTTTAAAAGCCTCCAAAGAAGGAGCCTCCAACACACTTTGGGGCTGCTGAACAGCTCTCAAAGTTAGGAAGTTTTTCCTAATGTTTATGTGGAATCTTCTTTCCTATAGTTTGCAGCCATTGTTCTGCGTCCTAGTCTACAGGGCAGCAGAAAACAAGCCTGCTCTCTCCTCCCTATGACTTCCCTTCACATATTTATAGATGGGCTTCACATCTCCACTCAGTCTTCTCTTCTGCAGGCTAAACATTTAAGCCACTCCTCATAGGGCTTGTTCTCTAGACCATTGATCATTTTAATTGCCCTCTTTTGGACACATTCCAGCTTGTCAACCTCTCCATTCAATTGCAGTGCCCAAAATTGGACACAGTATTCCAGGTGTGGTCTGACCAAGGCAGAATAGAGCGGTAGCATGACTTTACTGGATCTTGACACTATACTCCAATGTATGCAGGCCAAAATTGTTTGGGCTTTTAAAGCTCTCACATGATGTTGTTGGCTCATGTTTAACTTTTTGTTCACAATGATTCTACTATCCTGGCTTTAAATTATGCTTCTTACCCCATTCCATATCTCAGGTCTCCTTACCTTAGAATAGGTTGCTCCATTTATGACTTCTCCTCTCCGCATCCAAATAATGGATGCTGCTGGTTTGGCATTGTCAGCATGGCAAGTGAGATTCAGAGGATCTCCAGCCCGCAGGCTAATGATGGGTCCACCAAGAATAACTGGGTCATCTGGAGGCACTGTGAAGAAAGTAAAGTGATACGATTTATGAGTCTCAAAATAAATCCATGTGGATAGAAAAATTAGAATGCACAGATCCAAGAAAGCAGACACGTTAACTTGAGCTGAAATCCATTCTTAGGTCAAGAGTATGCACTGGTACAATCTGCAGCCAAAGAACTCAAAGAGGTCATGCCTCAATCATTTTTGTATTAGCAAGGCGTAGTATGACACTGGTTCTTCCAGCAGTCATCAGCCAATCCCTCTCCAATGCCAGAAATACAACTTAATGGTGTAACATTAGAAAATGTTGACCATTTCCACTACCTTGGCAGCCATCTCTCCACAAAAGTCAACATTGACACCGAAATACAACACCGTCTGAGCTCTGCGAGTGCAGCTTTTTTCCAAACGAAGCAGAGAGTGTTGGAGGACCGGGACATCCGTAGGGATATTAAGGTGCTCATTTATAAAGCTATTGTTCTCCCAACCCTGCTATATGCCTGCGAGACGTGGACTGTCTACAGTCATCACATGCAACTCCTGGAACGATTCCATCAGCACTGCCTCCGAAAAATCCTGCAAATCTCTTGGGAAGACAAGCTGACAAATGTCAGCATGCTGGAAGAAGCAAAGACCACCAGCATTGAAGCGATGGTCCTCCGCCATCAACTCCGCTGGACCGGCCACGTTGTCTGGATGCCCGACCACTGTCTCTCAAAGCAGTTGCTTTATTCTGAACTCAAGAATGGAAAAGAGGGACAGGAAAAGAGATTTTAAGATGGGCTCAAAGCCAACCCTGAAAACTCTGGCATAGACACTGAGAACTGGGAAGCTCTGGCCCTTGAGCGCTCCAGTTGGAGGTCAGCTGTGACCAGCAGTGCTGCAGAATTTGAAGAGGCATGAATAGAGGGTGAAAGAGAGAAATGTGCCAAGAGGAAGGTGTGTCAAGCCAACCCCAACTGGGACTGCCTTCCACCTGGAAACCGATGCCCTCACTGCGGGAGAAGATGAAGATCAAGAATAGGACTCCACAGTCACCTACAGACCCACCGCCAGGACACTACACTTGGAGGACCTTCATCCTCAGACTACGAGGGATCGCCTAAGTAAGTAAGTGACACTGGTGAACTGAATTATAGTTTTCGAAAAACACACATTGCAAAAAGAGATTTTCAGGTAAACCAAATGAATACATGTTTACAAGAAAAATGAAAACAGTTTAAATAGCATACTGTGCTAATATTTGTTTAATCAGGATTCTGGATTAAATGGAGTGGAGAGCTTTTTGCCCTAGAGACGTATTGGACTACAGTTTTCATAATTTGGCCACTTGTCCCACTTTTGGGAGCCGAAGTCCGAAAAATCTTGAGGACCAGAGGTTTCCTATCACTTAGATTAATATGATACTTAATTTTGATCCCGCTCAAAACCCGTTTTGGAACATTTTGCCCCCATTTTTCCCCCAGAATATCAATCTTTGGTTTAGGACTTAAGAACTACAGACTATTATTTATTTCAGAGCAAATTGTTCCTGAATTTTAGAAGTATACTCTTATGGAGAAACCTTGCATTAGGCACGGTATGAATTCTAATTTGTATTGTGAATGTGGTGATGGAACCAGGGGGATGAAATCAATGGAAAATTAAGAATCTAGGGTTTTCTTGCTATTAAAAAAGTGTTTTCTGAGATCTCCCCATGGAGAAGATAGGTTGCAAATGCTTTAGAAGGTCTGCCTCTATAAAACAAAAAGGAAACACTCAACAAAGCTTTTTATGAGCAGGGCTTCACATGTTGTGATGATACACAGAGAGAGAATAAATGTGAAGGATCTCCACATTCTCCCACTCCACCCCACCTCCCCAATACTATGTTCAACAAGAAGTTTTCAAGGGGAATTATTATTATTGCAGTAGAGCAGTGTTTCTCAACCTTCCTAATGCCATTACTCCTTAATACAGTTCCTCATGTTGTGGTGACCCCCAACCATAACATTATTTTAGTTGCTACTTCATAACTGTAATTTTTACTACTGTTATGAATTGGAATGTAAATATCTGATATGCAGGATGTATTTTAATTCACTGGACCAAATTTGGCATAAATACCTGATACACCCAAATTTGAATACTGGTGGGTTTTTTTGAGGGGGGGGGGAGGAGAATTGATTGTGTCATTTGGGAAATGAAGTTGCTGGGATTTATAGTTCACCTACAATCAAAGAGCATTCTGAACTCCACCAACGATGGAATTGAACCAAACTTGACACACAGAACTCCTATGACCAACAGAAACTCCTGAAAGGGTTTGTTGGACATTGACCTTGGTTTTGGAGTTGTAGTTCACCTACATCCAGAGAGCACTGTGGACTCAAACAATGATGAATCTGGACCAAACTTGGCATGAAGACTCAGTATGCCCAAATGTGAACACTGATTGAGTTTTGGGGAAAATAAACCTTGACATTTGGGAGTCGTAGTTTCTGAGACTTATAGTTCACCCACAAAGAGTATTCTGAACAGATGGAGAGATCTTCAGCCTTCTCTGTCAAAAGGGTTCCTAAGACCATGAGAAATATGTGTTTTTGATGGTCTTGGGTGACCCCTCTGAAACCCCCCTCCAGACCCCACAAAGGTCCTGACCCCCAGGTTAGGAAACACTGTAATAAAGCCATGTCTGTAATATTGATGTTGGAAACCGGCCTGAGTCCCTCGAACGGAGGTGAGAAGACCGGTATACAAAACTGCTAAATAAATAAATAAATGAATGAATAAATAGTTGGGGCTCTTATTTATTTATTCATTTATTTATTTAAAATATTTATATCCCACCCTACTCCCCACAAGGGGGGCTCAGCGCGGCCTCACATGAGCATCAGAGGATGCTAACAGCATAAATACCATAAAAATTACAATTCACAATAAAATCATTTTAAAACATTGTACATCATCAGTAAAATTTAACAATAAATTAATAGATTAACGTGCCAGTAAAAACCAAGCCGAGCCGGAGAATCCATGTCACAAAATCCAAATTTCCTTTTACTATTGCCGCTGGCCTCTAATTGAACACCTGGCCCTAGAGCCAGGTCTTCTGTTGTCTTCTAAAGGACAGGAGGGAGGTGGCCAACCCGATGCCCTTAGGGAGAGAGTTCCACAGATGGGAGGCCACTGCCGAGAAGGCCCTGTCTCTCATTCCCACCAACCGCGTTTGCGAGAGTGGTGGGATCGAGAGCAGGGCTTCTCCTGATGATCTTCAGCTTCGTGATGGTTCATAGCCGGAGATACATTCAGACAGGTAATCTGGGCCAGAACTGTTTAGGTCTTTAAAGTTAAAACCAGCACTTTGAATTGTGCCCGGAAGCTAATCGGCAGCCAGTGGAGCAGGTGCAACAGAGGAGTGGTACGCTCCCTGTACGCAGCTCCAGTTAACAACTTAGCCACCGACTGCTGGACTAATTGGAGCTCTCTCCTGCCCCAGACTCCCCTGTTCCCTTTTAGATTAGCTGCAATCTTCAACATGGGATGGACTTTCCCAGAAACAATGTGTGTTCCACCCTCATCTGTAATCAAAGTATTTAGGAGTATGATAGGAGTCTTTATTGGATATTGGCTCAAGGGTTTTACACCCTACAATTAAAGTGTTGCGCCTCCATATTAACTGCCATGGTTCCATCTTATGGAACTTGGGATTTGCAGATAAGGGAGTGGTATTTAGAATTCTCAACCAGAGACCTTAAACTACAAACCTAAGAATTCTAGAAAATGCTGCTATTATGGTTAAAGTGGAATGATAGTGATCTAAAATGTTTAGTCCAAAAGGACCCCTTTTCCTGGTGGAAGCGGAAACATGCTAGAATTGGGGCTTATGCACATCTGCCAATTATTCTAGGTATGGACAGCAGGCCATCTCAGATGAGAACAGGTGTTTTGTTGACATGGGTCGGTGCCACTATCCTCTCTTCCCTGCAATCACCTTCTCCATGGTCGCATGGGTGAGTGAACACTGCTGTGCATGGGCAGTGCTGAAACAGTGAGACCATTATTTCCCAAATGAATTTCTTTGCTGAACGCAGTAACATTTTCCCCATCATCTCCCGAACAAAAATGTATTAAGAAGAGGAAGGTGAAGGACATCCAAAAGACACACTTGCTATCAAGGCTATTGGTTGAAATCAATTATATTTAAGGGCAAAAGTTTCTTTTAGGTCTTCCCTCCTAGGAACATCACATCAAAGGCTTTTATGATTGTTTGGAAGATCTTACATAATGTATCAGATTATTCTTGAAGGAATTATATTACTGTGTGTATGCCAGACTTTGATGCTTCTGTCAGTGGTCAACAGCCAATTTAGACCTAGGTGGGTACGTCTGTGTTCAACCTTTATTGCCTGAGATAGTCTTAAGATATGAAAGCAATAACAGATTTTCTCCACTTTATTTATTTACTGTGTTGCTGACGGGACTCTCCTCTTGGGAGATATACACATTATATTTTATGAAGGCTTGAGGGCAACAGCTTTCACTCAGCCCACAATGCAGAAAGTGATGGCTTTGGTCTAAAAAAAAAGCAAAGATAGGAGGAAACTGGGTAAATCCCATCCATCAGAGAAACAAATCAGGCAACCAAGCGAGAGCTCTCATAGTCACTTCAGCAAAGTGGCAAGAAGACTGCATCTAGACGAAACAATTTCTGCTTTTGTGTTTTAAGGCTCTGCTGTTTTTGGCCATTTCTAACCTCCACTCACATTACTAGCAACAATATGCCAGCACCCACATTACTATGGTTGGATACGAGGGGCTGCTGATAAGTCTTTGTGGTCTTTTTCGTTTCTATGGTAACGAATGTTATATCACATGAAAGCCTTATGTGTCTAATATATGTTTTCAAAATTTTGTGTTTGTAGCTTATGGAAACAGTGATCTAGGCACGTGGGAAAACAAAATGGCAGAGTCTTAGGCGATATTCACAGTAAATGAGAGCAGAGGAGTGATAGCATTCTTGTTTCTGCAAGGAAAG